ATCGGTCAACGTCCGAGTAAAAATATTATCATTGTTATCTCGGCTCATTGCTATTAACGTCACGTTCATATGACATCTGATACCCAATGGCTACTTAGTAGGATTGTAAGTGGCCTTCACATGCGTCCAACATAGACTTGCATTCATAAGCGCATTGGATCTCATAGAAAATGTGTTCCCTTGCGACCTCAACGGATATTCTTTGTCCGTTGAGGCCGCAGAAAGTGACCGTTGTAATTGACTTGTAGATAAAGTGAAGGTATTTGCGAGCAGTTAGCGGTTTATCACGTTGCATCACACAAAGGACATCCGATTCGATCCAAATTTACTTTCAACTTCAGCATATCACGAGTTGTACTGAAACCGCCAATTACCGGCAAAGTTTGCATCCTTTGGAATAGTTTTATATTCAAGTAAAACCAGAATGCACAAACTCCCCAGGTATGTGCACCCACTAGCCTCCCTAGGATATCTATATTTTCAAAAAATCATATAATTCAAAATAAACGTAACTTTTAGGACATCAGTTCTACAAGGAAGTTAAGGAAATTCCCATATAGTATACCTAGATAACCAGGTGAAAGTTTGCCGAACAGGATGTAGTGGATGCCCAGTGGACTATGAGAGGGCCAATAATAGTACTAATAATATTCATATTTGACTTCATCTCCACCTACCTTCTTTAGGATTTGTCTCATCCGGAAAATAAGGAGACCATACCTCTATACACTAGGGGCAAATAAAAATAGAACTTACTACCAACTTATACAGTTGATGCACTCACACGTCCTATGACGATTTCGAGCCGGCAACTCGGTAAGTAAGTGAATCAGGCTGCCAGCGAAAAACTTTGAGTTTTATGGAGCCCGCACAATCTGATGGATTTTGCCTTTGCGGAAAAGAGCATGATTTGCAGTTACTCGCTAACCCAAAAGTTACACTAAAATTAGTTTGGCCGTTAAAATGCCTCTCCCCCTAGAAGAATCAGCGGATGTATTTTGACATCCGCTAAATGCACTCGGTAATAGCTCTGTGACGAATTTAACAGTCGGTTAATCTTATTCCGCCTATGGGGGATAAGATGGTGGTTTGTCTGAAACAATAATCAGATCGGGGAAAAATGAAGGATGCCTTCCACTTCAGACACCGCATCCACCATCTATCGTAAGTTTGTGATGATGGAGTAAATCCGTTCTTTCATTTCGGCCGACGTCATTGGCAGGTTTTTCACTTTCGACGTTCTCGACAAAGCCCTACCCCACCGAAGCCGTCATCGTTAGCCTGTGAATGGTGATCGCCAGATGCTGTCACAACTGTTGTTGCACATACCCCCCCCCCGCCCATCTACCGCAACGGCCTCATAAAGATGGCGGTGGTGCTGTGACATGTACGCACGGGGTGTGTGCTGTACGCCTACGTATGTGCACACGGTCGCACACCGCACGCACACGTGCCCGCAACACGTCGCAGTTGTTTCATGATCGCCCGATGATCGCATACCCACGCACGAGTGCGCGTTATCTGCCCAAAAAGGCGTATGCTGACGGCTGTCGCAGTCGCGGGTTTATTGGAGTGGAACAGCGGTAAGCCTCCCCCCCTTCCCCAAACAGGGGGTCCTGTTTCCCACCCTTCCTAAAATAATCAACCTTGTGCTTGCCACATGGTGGTTTTAACCACTATATTGACAATTACCCGGACAGTGGACAGACGACGCGACCTGTTTTCTACAAGGAACGGACGGTCTGACCAAATTCCGTTTCAATAAGTATTGCCGGATATGAATACAGAGACTATAATTACCCCTCCCGGGTTATTTGTCGTCGTCAGCCGTCCAGATCCCAGGCCCAAGAGACCTGGGATATGAGCCTGCATTCAGTTAGTCATTGAGTGTGATGATTTGCCAGTTGAGCCACAAGTTCAGGCTCTGTCGGCGGTGATCGGACATGGTCACATGCGAGCGGTATTTGCTGATCAGAGCCGACTACAATGCGGCCAGTTTGGCCTTATGGCTCCAATTCTGACTAGAACGGGGATCGCCACTGTCGTGCGACTTTAAAGCCTGTTTCGTTTGTGGCGCGAAAAGCAGAGGTGTGTGATGCGTGCACAGAGCACGCCCGATTGACCAGGGCTATAGCTAGTTGTTTTGAATGATTCTTGTCAGTGTGAAAGTGAAGAGACCTACTGTGTCCTGCAAACCTTTCTCTCTCGCTATAGCTCAACCCCTGCGCAGGTCACCCCTACTTTCCAGGTAGTGGGCGGTCACCAAGGAGAAAGTGCGTTCATCCATACACTGATTTGACATCCATTATGTACTACAGAGAGCGTCTGAAACAGTCTAGCTTTTCACATTGGGTATCGAGTTTCACTGGTGCCTCCTGACTGAGCATCACGGTTCCGATTTGCCGTTAGAAAAGTGGCCCTGAACTCCATTCTGCTATGCGCGATCATTGTTTTGTCTGAGTTGACGACCAAACCAACGTGTTGTGACTCAGTGAGCAAAGAGGTGTAGGCTATGCTGTACGTCTGCCTCTGCTATGGAGTTGAGTGCGCGGTCACCGGAGAAGAACAGGTAATGTAGCTTGTGCTCGGAACCTTTTTTATAGACTTTCATTCATTGAAGGTCAAAGAGCTTCACTTCGGCACTATATTTGATTTGGATGCTGGGGCGTTCATCCTGATATGTAATCACTTGATTTTCGATATAACACAATGCAACATGCTGCCATGGTATTGCCTCTTAGTGGGTATGACAGTTTCTGGTTATCCAAACTTGTCCAGTTTCCTCCAGCCTGTGTCGAAGTCCATTATGAGAGTTACAAAGATATCGCAGGGACTTGCGTGTATTCCTTGGCAATTTTTTCGTACTTGAGGAGCGGTGAAGATCACGTCAAATGTTCCCTTGTGTTTTCAGGCTAAGGCCTGACGAGCAATTAGGAAGCACGCGATGGCAGCTTCGTGAGTGAAGATGCGAATTTGTCCATTTTCGGTAAGATATGGTTTGGTAGCCCCACCTGATGGACACAATACTGTTGGGGTTGGGGTTAAGGGTTAGGGTTAGGGATTATGGTTAGGAGTGAGGGTTAGAGGTTTGGGTTAGCAGTTGGGGTTTGGAATAAGGGGTTATAGTTAGGGTTAGACGTTAGCGCAAATATTTCGTAACCAGTGAAAGAACAACCATGCACTCCCAATTGCATACAACTACTCGACCTCGTCGCCTGTGCGTTTCCGAGCTCCACCTGTAAAAAGCCCCATTACCACCGGTCCCGTATTAGAGGTAACTGGGCTTCGTTTACTTCAGGTGGGGCTACCAAAACACACCGACCCCGTTTCATTCACACTTGTAGAGGTGAACGATAGTGGCCTCATTGCAGTTTTGGTGGATCCTTTCTTGGTCTCGCGTCCTCTGGAACAGATGACCCAACATTTTCAGTATTTGTGAGTCTCCATACTTGTACATCCAGGTGGACATAGAGTAGTCCGGGCTTTCCAATTTAGTAGAAGTTGAAGCGTCATGCTCTCTTCCTGTAGGGTCTCTGGAGGCCAAATTTACCTTTTTCCCAACTTGATGCTGCCTTTTGATTACCTCCTCGCAGATGCAATTACGCCTTCAACTCTTTAGAGTCAGTGATTTATTGGACAGCAGTGTTACTCATGCTAGCTGAACCACGACGAAATTTTGGGTGATTATAGGTCGTATGCCCTCTTGATGACTCCGGATAACCTCTTAGTTTTTTCTATGGTCATCGTATTCTTCGACTTCCCCCGCCTTGCGATTAAACCAAGTACTCCCCATCCGCTTTGATTCCTGCGCAGTTTTTGACGAAGTTTGACAAGAATGCCCGCTCTGAGAGGGTCATACCGTGGGCCCAGTGCAATTTACCGGCATCGAATTTTGTTCAGTACTCTTATCAAACCAGTTTAATGTTATTGGGCCGTGGACTGCCGGAATTCCGGAGCACTGGGGTAGATCGTGACTTGCAGTATACTTTCGTTGTTCACAGGACATGTGTACTCATCGAGATGCACTTGTTTTGGC